AACAAATCAAAAAAATCAAATCCGTTTAATTTTGTTAATAAAAACAAATGTAGTATATAAACTCATCATAGATAACAGGATTGCAATTTTGTACGCCGGACGCGCGTTTCATCTACAAAAGGCTCATCAGTGACGCTCGAATAAAAAAAAGTTAAAAAGGCAAAATAAAGTACGAAGTTGAAGAGTATTTCAGTTTCCCAATTGTGAACTTTCCATTTCTATGTAGCAACATTCCAGCAGCGCCTGCATAAAGAGTATATATCTCCCAATTGATACGATATTCCCGGGCTTGTGTTTCCTATCATGATTTCCTTGATAGAGGATTGCTGCGCACAAGGAAGCTATTAAACCAAGAGTTCCAAATGGTGAAGTTGAAATCATCCCTTCGTTAATTTTACGGACGCCATCACGAGTTGGTTGACCGTTATGGAATAACCGTTTCACAGATGATATCGGATATGTTCCTTATGTCGTAACTACAATACCCTCCCTTTTCACGAATGTGACTTACCAAATTTGATTATTTACCGGATTTGTAATAACATAAGCAACACGACGGGTGCCACATGTGGAGCAGAATCTGCATACCCTTCCGGAGCACCTGAGATCACCCCCAGTTTTTAATGGGGTTCGTGTTGCTTAGTCTTGTTTTCTATGTTGTGTCATCTGTACTATTATTTTTATTTCTGGCCATGGCGTCATCAGTTTGTTTTTGATCTATGAGTTTGACTGTCCCTCTGGTATCTTTCGTCCCTCTTTTGAGGACCCAGTATTCCTAAAAGTTTGACCAAATACAGCAAAGGTAATATATTTCTGAGATAGAAAAGCCGAAAGTTTTGCAAACAGTTAAATTATTAGTATGACCATATCAATGTTAACGCATGTTTATTGCATTTTTCCCATTTTTTGGAAATGTGGAAAGGGGATTTTGACTCTAAGTGCACTATTAAAACAGCTTATTTGCTGACAAAATATATAGTGTTGTTAAAAAAAACAAAATGGCATCAGGGGATTTTGACTCTAAGTGCACTATTAAAACAGCTTATTTGCTGACAAAATATATAGTGTTGTTAAAAAAAACAAAATGGCATCTATACTCTTGCATTTTGTATATGTTATGATAAGGAGGGTTTGAGCTCTTAGTGTAGTTACAAATTAAAACAGCATATTTAATTGAATTTTGTATCGAAAAATAAATAATTTTTTTAAAAACAAACAGTAGTATCTTTGATTTGACTAGCAATTTTCACATTACATTCTTCGTGGAATTTGGATTCTAAGTGTAACTATAAAACAGCATGTTTGATTAGGAAAAATACAATGTTGTTAACAAACAAAAGTAAAATTGAGAATGAAAATGGGGAATGTATCAAAGACACAACAACCCGACCAAAGAATATATGTGTATGTACTACTGATAAAATTGTATTTTCACATTTTATGATAAAAAGTTTTTGGACTTTAAGCGTTACTATTCAACGGAATATTTGGTGAATAAATATATAATTTTGTTTAAAATAAAACAAATAAAGTATTATCTTTGCTATTTTATTTTCATAGGAATTCCGTGAAAATTACATAACAAGTTATAGTTTAACCACATCAGTTTTGCTGTTAATAATGTGTTTATCAAGAATAACAAGTTATATCTATATAACATTTATTAATTCATTTACTTGACATTACCACAATCCCGTCCTCTTTACCCACTAAAAATTTAAAGCTTAGATTTCAAACATAAAAGCTCTTTCGCATATCCTTGACATGAACATTCACGTCATTTTCTTACATCTACGTCATTAGCTAATATCAATTCTACAAGCTTAGGTTGGATCGAGCAGCAAAAACCTTTAAAAACACAACAACAAAAAGAGAGAGTAGAAAAAACAAAGCAATATATAAAGACAAAATTCAAGGGTTTATTAAAGGTGTCATAATAAAGCCCCCATAGTTCACCGATGTTCCAAGCTCTTAAATCGATTGAAAATACAAATTAAGGTTACATAGTTACGTAAACTGGGGGAATAATAAAAACCAGTATTAAAAGTTCTTTCCTATGACTAATTAATGTGCTTTTGTTCTACATATCCTATTTTGAAGATTTTTTTTGTCAATTTGATTTTGTTTTTAAGTCTGAAACAACATCGAATCATCAAGCCATGCTGTTAGCACGTAGTTTCACTGTCTTTGAAATCTTAAAAATGTCATTTCAAAGGCACTCACCACAGCTTATCGATATTGATTCTTGGTATGTACAGTCTGATCTTCCCCATCCATTAAATCTGCAGTTAGCAATATCCGTTTCTGTCCCCAAGCACTTAAGATCGTCCATTAGAACTGGTGTATTGCTTAAAAAGCTACCATATGGTGTCTGTTTGGGAATAACTGGGTGTCTAAAAAATGACGTAAATTACTTATAAGCAATGATTAGTAGCTATTTTTCAAGGGATAAATTGCGTTACAAACTTATACTTCATAGTGAATATTTCCCTTTAAGAAAAAATTAAAACTCTTCATAATTTTTCCTATAATGAATATGATATTATATATAACAATCCTCGTGCAGATTAGCGTTTTTTGTCTTCTTGTTTTGGTATTTATGAATTATATATTTGGAAACAATAACGTGAAAAAATGCAATTATCAAAGGGGCAAATTATATTTATGTTCTTAATAATAACATTCACTTGTAGACCATCAACAACAGTGCATAATCAAATCGATGTCCACTTGGTTTTTTTAAACAGAATTAAACTTTGGAATATTAAATGTATTACTCATTTATATATACCTTACAAGCAGTGTGATAATTGAAAAAACTTGTTCTAACAAAATAGGCATTTTTAACGATAGTCTTCATGGTCTTGGGGAGCACAATATATCAAAACATTTGTACAAAGGTCTCATTACCCGGACTAACCCATCCGGTATGCGAGGCACTTGCCAAGTATACATATTCTTGAAAATTAAACAGTAAAGGAAATTTATCCAGCATAACATGTTCATATCATGTACATGTAAAGCTGTATATATTTTTGGAAATCGTGTACTTAACCTTCGACTAATTTACCTTTTCTACTATCAAATATCAAGTTTTTGGAAAAACATGTGAACCTTAAAAAATTACACAGAAAAATACAGATCGTACATCATTATCAGGATAATTCTATATGTTCAGTCCTTTTTTAGGAAATGTGACCATGAATGGTTCCGAATCATTGTGTGTTTGTTGAATATTTGTCACTTAATTTATGTTTTTCGGTTTGGTTTGGTTTTTTTTTTATATAACAGCAACCTTAAACTCTGACCATTGGTCCTAAATTCAAAAAGATTAACATCTTCCAACGGAATAATATTGTTTCATTTTAGTTAAGCAAGGGAAAAGATAAGATTCCATTCCAAAAGCATTTGTGTCGGACCAACGATTAGGCGTAAGGACGACCAAATGATGGACGACAAGGCGTCAGCTCCCGACACTGTATATAATGTTTGATGAATGTCGTCCACACCGCTTTTTGGGATTTGCATTCATCAGTAACGAAAAATAATTTGGCCTTTATGCACAAAACAATCGAATTTCTGGGCTGTTCGGTGATCAGGATAAGAAAAATATTCAGGTAAACTGTCTTTATCATATTTAGACAAAATGGTATAGTATGAATTGTTGTTTTCAACCTCATTAAAAATTCATTGTTGTTGGGGGGAGGGGGGTAAATTTATTGTACCCATTTCACTTTTAAAATTATATCCATTCCAATTTAGGATCGAAAAAGTAAAACGATGTCGCTTGCTTTGGTGGGGTTTTTGGTGCTCAGTTTTTAGTTATCTTTGTGGTGTTTAGTAGGCTGATGTTTGTCTTTTGGTCATTTTTCGTTTGTTTGCCATGGCTTTGTTATCGCGTTTTCAACTAATGAGTTTGATAATCATTTGGTATCATCAGCCTCTGTTTTACTATGGCCCATTGAATTCGAAAATCAAAATCTTTAGGATTATATCAAATTGCATTACTCGTTATCAGAGTAGCAAACTTGTTATCTGAGTAGCAATAGCATTAGTCTATAAAATATGATCATCATTTACATTTGGAACTTTGTCTAAAATATCTCACGTTAGTGCTAAAAAATTCTTGTATTTGATCAAAAACTTCCAGAATATCCTCATTTCAAGATATTGTCCCGAACCAGAGTCTCCCCCAAAATTATTAAGTAACACAATGTTTTAAAAATGTGTTGGTGTAGATAAAAAAAAATTCTTACATTTGTTAATGCTCATATCTAATTGTCAAAAAACTGTGCTTAAAATGGTTCCATACTTTACCTCTTAAAATTGATATAGATGGATTTTACTTTTTTGTTACATGTGAGGCCAGAAAGTTGTTTTTCTATCGTACTTCTTTTTTCTTCTTTGGGGAACTAATAACGCATTTAGATTGGTGTTCAGATGCAATTTTAAATGAGTGATCAAGTGCTAAGGTGATTGGGGGGGGGGGGGGATACTATATATTCATTACATTCATCTTAAATGGCCCCAAGAAAGTTGTATCATAGATTTTGAGACCCCGATGTCAATTGCCTTATCTACTCACGTCTCCAATTCCCAAGTTATTTTTCAAGAACTTATAACGCAATTAGATTGGTGTTCAGTTACAGCTATACATGAGTGATCAACTGCTAAGATGATGGCCAAATGATCTGTTGTATCGCTCAGTAGCTTTGATTATGCTTGTAAACTTTAGTTTTAATCCGAATTCAGATCTCTGATACTGCAGAACGTATAAAAAATATTTGGTGTACAGATGCATCTTGCTGATTACTACTGCTTCAAACAAATCAATCAATCAATTCAATCAAACCTTTATTTTTTTTACTACAAGGTATAACGTCCAGGTTTATATCTCAGATATGAAAGGCCAATTCAGTTTCATAATGAGGTTTGTATGCGATGTATTGGTTTGTATAACTTAAATAAATTTAATTTGGAGTCAGAAACCTTATACTTACGACGAGCTGAAACCTAAAGTATGACATAAGACCCTTGCATCGTTGATATCAAACATATCGTCACAAATTGTTCCCCAAGTTCCATTGTGATAGACTTCCACGCGACCTTCCGTAGGTTTGCTTCCACCACTTAACCTAACTGGAGTTACTGAAGGAAATAAAAAGCAAAAATGTTATAATGGTTGATCATTCAAAATACATTACTAAAAAAAAGACGTTAGTAAGACAGAGGCTTTAGTCAATCTAACTGTACTGAACATATGTTCAATAAGACATGTTCTGTTATTTTAACTCAAAAGTATCATTTTTACATACCACATGCAATGCCAACGTCCATAAAATGAGTACAATTGGCGTCTCCCCAACCTCGAAAGGAACAATTACTAATATCAAGTTCATTCCCAATGCAGTCCAGATTGTCCATCCAAATATCGTTTATTCCTTTGCCAAACTTTGAAACTGGGTAAACTGTTGCTTGTCTGAAAAAAAACCAATTAAACAATACATATAATCATTTAAAATTGTCCGTGTGTCAATCTAGGATATACGTTGTTATTAATAAGGGTGCTAGCTAACAGTGCCATATCTGTATTGTTCCGAAATTTTGTAACAAAACTATCCGCGTCTCTCTGTCTCTCTCTCTTACCAAGCTGTAATACATGTTTAATTTCATCGTTTGTTCCTTTTAATTAATATTGATTAAAATTGAGAATGGAAATGGGGAATATGTCAAAGAGACAACAACCCGACCATAGAACAGACAACAACAGAAGGTCACCAACAGGTCTTCAATGCAGCGTGAAATTCCCGCACCCGGAGGCGTCCTTCAGCTGGCCCCTAAACAAATATATATACTAGTTCAGTGATAATGCGGCGGGGTTAAACATGTTTATGAGATCTCAACCCTCCCCCTATACCTCTAGCCAATGTAGAAAAGTAAACGCATAACAATACGCACATTAAAATTCAGTTCAAGAAAAGTCCGAGTCTGATATCAGAAGATGTAACCAAAGAAAATAAACAAAATGACAAAAATACATAAATAACAACAGACTACTAGCAGTTAACTGACATGCCAGCTCCAGACTTCAATTAAACTGATTGAAAGATTATGTCTTCATCATATGAATATCAGGCACAATCCTTCCCGTTAGGGGTTTAGTATCATCCCATCAAAACCTATATGAGAAGAAAATAACCCGTGTCATGCCAACAACTGGTTTTTAAATAAATGTGTTTAGTGCCGATGCAAAGACCCAACAAGTGAAACAATATTAACGCCAAAATATGCAATCTTTAATGACCTGACAACAGTATCGTAACTATATCCCTTCTTAATAAGTCTATTTAAAGGTTTTGTTAGCTTCAGAGGTGAATACTGACATTTTTGTGCTTTATAAAGAATATTTCCATAAAAAATTGGATGTGAAATACCTGAACGTATAAGAAGTCTGCATGTTGAGCTATATTTACGAATGATGTCCTTATACCGATGATAAAATTTAGTAAATGTTTTGACTAGTTTGTGATATCGAAAACCCTGGTGTAATAATTTTTGATTGATTATTTATCTTACAAATGTTAATAAATGATAATAATGTTTCTTTCTAGATTTGAAATATATGTGGTTTTTTTTTCCTTCCGTGTCCAATACATTTGTTTTTCTTCAAGTTTTAGAAAACTCATCGTAGATCTGTTTTACAATCTCGTTCTTTTTCCTCGAATGTGATATAATTCAATGAGACTTATCATCGAATATGCACTTTCATGAACAAAACGACGGGTGCCACATAAGGAGGTGGTCTGATTTGCCATCCGAACACCTGAGATCTCCCCGGTTTTTGTGGGGTTCGTGTTACTCAGTCTTTAGTCTTTTTCCGTGTAATGCTTTGTAGACTGTTTGTCTGTTCGGGATTTTTTTTCTTCATTTTTTTTTTGGCCATTGTATTGTCAGTTTTTTTAAACGGATGAGTTTGAACATTCATTTAATATCTTACACCCTTCTTTTTCTTCATACTTAGTTGTGATTGAGTTTAGATATGGCTAGAAATTGAATCCATTGTCTTTATATAAAGAATGTTTATGCCAAACACTTTTCTAATATATCATAACATAGCATAATGTATTATAGACTTTTTAAACATTTCTGCATCGTTCGGGACACCATTTGTAAATTTTACAAAGCTCTTTAAAGATGATGTTAAGTACAATTAAAAAATACTGCTGTTTTGATTGTGCAATATTCTAATCGACATGGACTCACTTCTTATCATATTTCAAAATTAAATGTATCGGTTTTGCTTGTGGTGTATCTATTCTTAGCTAAGCGTATTATATAGTGTTTACTTTGTATTCGCTAAAAAAAACTGAGCATGCTTCAATTACAGATTCGCATTATTGCCCAGTGTATTAAAACTTTTACTTACGCATTTTTATATCCAAGCATTCCACAAATGACCTTGGCATCATTGACATCAAAACTTGTGTTACAGATTGTTCCCCATATATTGTCATGGAATACTTCAACTCTTCCCTCTGTTGAGGAAGAACCATTGGTTAGCCGGACTTGTATGTCTAAAAGTCGATGCAATGGTTAATACAAAACTTTCCATTATAGTAATAACAAGAAAATATAATGGTTATAACGTTATATAGTAACACTAAAACCGACAACAAAATCACTTATTCAGCATGTGCAGTGTACGTTTATCATAGTATGTTGTATTGATTTGTTTCAGATATTGTGACAACGGGTGTCTGTTTCGTTTTTTGCGACCTGCTATCTATTCTTTTAAATAGAACAAATAAGAAGTTATGTGTCATGCATTTGTGAACTGATTATCTTTTTAAATGAATAATAGGTAGAACAATCGGAAAATATTCCTAACCTATATGATCATTCCCATGCAAAGCATAGGTCTACATGACAACTACGAGTATGTAAAATAGAGACGAAAGATACCAGAGGGACAGTCAAACTCATAGATCGAAAACAAACTGACAACCCCATGGCCAACAATAAAAAGACAAACAGACAAATAATAGTACAGATGACACAACATAGAAAACTAGAAATGTTATCCAGGTTTATGTATTTCACTTTGTAGCCGTCCTTTGAAATGAAAATATAGAAATTTACACCAACTTTATGGAACTATTAAGTCTTAAAGTAGTTAATATTTTAACTATAAACAAGAATGATACATCGAGCCAAACAAAGGCAATTATTTCCACTGAAATGGATGAAAATGAAGCTGCAACAGATTGCAGAATCACACATTTTGATAATAGAAGCTACTCTGGTGAGTTAGCGTATATTAACAAAACTAGGGAATTAGAAGCATTTTAATTTCAACTTAAATGATATTAAATGTGAATATACAATCAAAGAAGCAAAAAAACTATATAGCTTACCACAATTTAGTCCAACGTCTTCATCATGTCTACAACTTCCTTTAGCCCAACCACTGTTTCCGCATAATGATATATCCGTCTCGTGTCCTATACATTCTAAATTGCTCAACCAGATTGTGCCATTACCACGACCAAAGTGTGAAGCAGGGAATATAATTGGATGTCTACAAATGATCGATACAAACAATGACAATTTTTATTATATATATAGCTGTCAATTCCAATCAGCAACTTCATGTTACAAACTGTAGTTCGTGCAACATCAAAACGAAAAATATATCACTTATTAAATATTTTTTTCCGAATATATACCTTCATTGTAAACGCTCAATCCCAACATATGGAATAGCGTAGATCCATAGATACTTAAATACTAATGAGTTTTTGACCAAAGTTCTACTTTATTTTAATTATATTAAATGAGGTTAGTAAAGTAGAAGTTCTGTAGGGGACTGATTTGGATTATGTATATCAATTAGATTTAATAAAATGAATTAAAAATTTAACACTACAAAGAAAAGTTATTTTTTTAATGTCTAAATATAAATATATCAGCAAAGTAGAACTGTCTAATAACTGTATAGTTCATTTTATCTCCTGGTGTGTTCCTATTATTATTCAAAAGGTTAAACAAACAAACAAACAACTGAAGGTCAACGCATTGTCTAGATCCAACAATGGCAAGAACATTGTAAGACGTTGATAGAAACACAGATTTTGTATATGTTATAAGTGATATCCAATACCTTCAAAATATAACTTACTAGGATTGAGGAATATTAAATGCATAATAAATAATAATTAGTGAAGCTTTAAGATTATTATTTATATTTGGTTTGGCTGTAATGATATTTTGAAACAATAATAGTTAGTTATCAATTTAAATTATTGCACAAATAGAGATTCAGAAATATATGTTGATTTAACATGTTAAACTTTAAACATTTTCCAATTTTTCATTTTGTTTTTGCTTTCTTCTGTTAATTAAATATGACACTTACACTAACTTCTTTCCTATCATACCACAAATAACCTTAGCATCTCTTTGATCAAAATTTCTACTACAAATCGTCCCCCAATGACCGCTGTGGAAAATTTCTACCCTGCCTTCATATTTGGTTTTTCCACCCTCGAACCGAATAGGAGCTGAAACCAATATTATATAATGTGATAGAAATAAGCAACAACAATTCGCGTTGTCCGTTTCATTATATGAACATGATAAATTGAATTACACAACACGTCTTTCTGTAATAATCTAAATTATATTATTTCTTTGTCATTGGAAAGTATAAGTGAAGTCTTAAAATTAATTAAGGGGAAAAAATCTGACTTAGATATAGACCTTTTTTGTTTTCGAAGTTACCTTATTTCAAATTACAAAGATAAACAATTATTTGAGATTTGAGTGCTCATGTATAAAGCATATTATCAACTTATTTGGAAGAAAAATAAAAAAATTTCCTGATTCATTTCATCTTTTTGTTTAAAAGGTTTTGGATAAATTAGCATCATATGAATACAAGAATGTGTCTAGCAGGGGGATACAATTATTACCTATAAGAATACCTCCATTCTTCAATTTTACAAATATATCTACAGGGTATAAAAACTAGCAGTTTTATAATTTTTGCTTGAATGAATGTGTAAAAGAGATAAGTGTGGTTCACAACAAAGTAGGATTTTTTCTCGTCCGAAAACGTGTACAATCTGGTATCTACGTGTTCAATCCTTAAATACGATTACTAAGACTTTCAGAAATTATCAAAATAGTCATTCATGAAAAAAATTTTACTCCCGTGACCAATAACATAAGTGTTTACTTTTAAATGTACTTTTGGCCAATACATTAGTGTTTTAAGACGTGTAAAAGTTTTATATTGAATCTTTTGTCAAAGTGCCGGATTTTGCTCACTTACGGCACCACTAAACTAAGCATTCAACTTGACTTTTTAAACGTCTGTTTGGCTTCTTATTTTTTTGTTTGGTTGGTTGGTTGTTTGAGTCTTTTAGGGTTTTTTTCGTTGCTTTTTTTTATTTTTTTATTTTGCTTTTTTTTTTTTGGAAAAGGGGGGGGGTGCAAAAGCTGAATTATTGGTTTCTGACATACAATGTCAACATTCTACTTTATTCTTCGGGCTATATTTTAGAAAACTATGCACTTTCTACGTATACTCACTGTGTCCATGCAACAAGTTCAGTAATAAGGTTAACAAAAACTACAATACAAATTAAAATACTACATGATAGCTGTATCAGATTAATCTTGATAATAGAAAATAGAAAATATGACAAAATAATTAGTAACAACAAATTGTGATTTCGTTGCAAAGAAAATATTTAGAGATGTAAAGTTCTGACCGCACATCCAATTACAAAACCCAGATACAAAACGAAAGGGTACATACGGAAAACAATTGACTGATTAATGTCACAAATATGTATTAATAACGTAAATAAATCCCTTTACATATACATTTTCAGACTTTCAAACTGAATACTCAATGACATACGATTGTAGGTACACGAAAGACTGAACGAAATCTTAGATTGATAATTTAATATTCATTAGCTATGTTCTCGGAATCTTTAGATTCAGTACTTTGTGATAGCACAATTTATGTAAATTGTGCATCTTCATTTGGAACTATTTAGAAAGTGTATTCTTCCTAAATCTGATATTTTTTGGACTGTCACTGACAAACTGTTCGGTCATAAATTGTCATTATATTGTTAAACTAATTAATATTCTATCGAAATCATTTTATTTGCAATACTTGTTCGTCAAAGTAATTTTATTAACATGTAACGATTTTCTTAATAAAGCTTTTTGTGTTATAAGTAACAAGGAAGTGTCAGTATAGTTTCACAAAGTCGGAAATTTGTTTCAAGATAATAATTTTGATAAATGATAGATAAAGTCACAGCTTAACATAATTCTAAAGTTTTTTTACGTATAGAATAATTAATCCTTTAGTCTTTTTAGTTAATTCTTATTCAGCCTAAAACTCAAGCGACATAGTTTTGTTTTATTCTATTTTTTTTTAAACCTTTTAGTGCTAGTTGTATTATTTCATTGTCATTCGGTAATCTCGTTTCTATTAAGAAATTGTAACAATGTAAACATCCGCCTAATTTGTAATACTCGCACTTTCCATCCTGAATCATTAAATTGTTAACTACTGCGTAGGACTTGTGTCTAATTCTACCAGTGGAGTTAAAGCGAGTATTCTCAGGCAAGTGAATAGGTCCTAGTCATTGTCTATCGTTGGCATCGCCAACATCTGCAACCGGTCGTGGGTTCCAACTCGTTATCATCGTCATTCCAGTAGCCAGTCTCCTTTTTACATTTATGGTGGAGGAAATCCAGAGGCGTGTTGACTTTTTAGTTCGACACATGTTACTAGTACTTCAAGCAGCAAGTGGCATTTCGACAAGTTCCCATCATCTACGATTTCAGCGATGGAATATAGTTTCCGACCTCAATGGAGAACTTGAACATTTTATTCCCGTCAGAATCCAATGTATGTCAGATGTGGATTACAAAATCATTGCGTTGGAACATGTTCAGCAATAGATAAGCAATGCCTCAAATGCAACAAATTTTGACATTATTCAAGGCAATGTTGGAGATAATCAATAAAATCTTCAAATTGTTTACATCTCGTCAAGTAGAAAACAAATCGTGAAAAGCAACGTGATAGTAAAAGACTGAACGAATATTTTGAAAGACAAAGTGCGATGCGCGAGTTGCCATTCTTTGGCATAAGATTTAGATCTTTTCAAAATTGCTTAGACGTTTCTGCCATACTTCGTTCCGAACTAAAGTCTGTAAAAAGTCGACTGCATGAATGTAAAGTCACATACAGAAAGGATACCACAAAATTGCAAGATCAACTAATAGAGTTTGAGCGTAAAAACACAAGCTTAAAGAAGCAAAAAGAAGACTCAGCAATTCAAGATCCAAAAACTATCCAAGAATATTCAGACAAAATTTCTCAACTTGAATCCAAACG